TCTATTGGCCAATCATATCTTGTAAAATCACGGAATGATCTACAAAAATTAGCCAATCGGAATGAAAGCCCGCTATGTTCGGATTGTTGGGATGAAAATGCGTCAATACATATTATTTCACATAAAGCAAAATATGTATTTAGAAAGAGATCATTTATAGAGAGCGATGCATATGCCTATTATAAATTGGAGCAAGCTGTAAGGAAATTTACATAAAATTACTAATGTATTTACGGTGGTATGATTGTATTTTGATGAATCAAATAAATTTATTTCATACCAGTATATCCCCTACAATTATCCTAAAGGGATTCATAGAAAGACTATAATGATTTAATGCCTGTAATAATTGACAGAATTGACTGTATAATTACTGTAACTGTCAAGTTGTTGAAATCAAGTTTTTAATTAAGCAGGACAATAATTATCAATTTCTACAATGAAATAAATATCTGGGTATTCCTAAAGTAAAGTAATCAAGTTCTATACTAGGTTAATATATAGCGTTGATAAGTTTACAAATTCTGAACTTTAAAACCGAATCATTTATGGCATAGGAGAAACTTGGCGGACGGAATACGGTATGTATTCAAGTTATATAGAAAATTAACTATATATCACACCTTAGTTTTGAGGAAGAGTGCTTTCTTAATTGTTTTATGGGAAGCAAAAATATTAGAGTGATTCAAATTAACTCATTTCGTAAATAAATGGTGTTTAAAAAATCCCATTTCTGATTCGAAATTTGGAAATCAGAAAACGAAATAGATGTATTTTCTGATGACATTATCATCATACAAAAAAAAAAAATACAATTTATTAATCACTTATTTCAAAACAAATCCATCATTAATTTAGAAACCTGAACAATCACCCTATTATTAATATAGAATAAATAGTTTAGATATATTTTAAAGTTAAACATTTGATTACAAACTTGAAAAAAAAACTTGAATTAAAATTTACAAATAGCATAAAATCATAGAACATATAAACTATGTTTTATAAAATCACTACATATTCCAAACTCAACTTATATAAATTCAAATTTTACAAGTCTTATGTCCAGAGTTCGTAGTGAAAAAGTACGTTAAGGAGCTTCGACTGTAAATAGATTTATAAATGGACTGGTTTATGAACCAATTTAGCACAATAAAAATAATTTATTATTGCTCAATCAGAAGACTTTATTTAAACAACTGAACAATTTTATTTAACAAAGCTGAAAAACATACGGGAATAGGGGTTCGCTACCCTTTGTGGCTCAAATATACATAACCAAATTCTCAACTACAAAGACATAGATTTATCAAAACAGCAGGTGAAAAGGACACAACTAATACCCTGCCTGCCCACAAATAAAGGGTAACCCAAACAACAATACACCGATTAAAATACCTCCTATTGAGGAAAACCGTCAAATCTTCTCATAGCTGCAAAGAGAATCGGTATATATGTTCATGCTAACATAAGCGAAGTTTCTTTATTATGGTCATCATTGCACTGCCATTTGCAGCCGCAGAGCCACATGCAAACTGATCCTTGCACTGCCATCTGTGGTACGGAGCTAATACAAAATTGGTCCTTGCACTGCCACTGCAGCTGTAGAGCCAAAAACATCAGATCCTTGCACTGCTTATGCAGCCGTGGAGCCTGGCATAACAATAGTTCTACTTGCTTGGCCTCGGGTGGGTAAGGGAGGGTGATAGAGCCAGCCTTCACAAGGCGAGCGATAGTGAAGAAAAAGATAATCTTCTTTACCAAAACAACCAGCCTTAAATATCCCCTTTGCCTTACCTAACAATAAGCCATAACAATGTGAATTTCCAAAAATCATATACCAATCTGTAATATGACCGGTCATAACGTCATCTGATTTCGCAATAATGATCGCCCTGTCACTTCGTTGACAGGCTTTTCAAGGTAGAGATTCTAAAAATTAGTGACTTGGACTAAGCAAAAAAAATCAACCAAGGTACGTACGTACAATCAGTTAACCAATATTATTTCGATTGATAAGGTTAGCCTTAGACAGATGGTTTGGTCTCGTTAGTTTAAACTGTCGCTATTTTAATAGAATACGTAAAATTCATATTAATATTCATTTATTTTATGATAATGCGTTAAACATTTTACTTAACTAATTCATTCTACTTATCCGATGCGTCTAAAATGAGTTCATAGATTTGGTCCTGTATCATTTTTATCACCTCCATCCAGAAAGTTACACTTTATCATTTTTATCACCTCCAGAAAGTTACACTTCTAATACATTTTGAGTTATTTTATATACACCAGTTATAAAATTTTATACAGAATCAGGTGTATTCAAATTTGGTGTACGTATTTTTATGTTATTATGCTTATGCTCAATTTATCACAATTACAAGAAAGTAATAATAACATATTATTAATGAAAATGAATTCTGGTAAGCTTGAATTGTTTAAACTACACCCTATAAAAAATGTTACTCCGTGTTTTCTAATCGTGTTTTATCTATAAAAATTGCATATTTGTGGAATTTTTACTTTCAAATGATAGAAATTATTCAGCCTACTCAATCATGGGTGTTTAAAAATATAAGAGATAATGGAAATGAAATGTTTAAATAATATTTTTAAGAGATATAATTACTTCGATAATTTTTGAGATTCGTTATAAAAATTATCCTTTTATTTAATTATTTTAATTTCATTAATCTTGACAGTTAGTTATACTGGTTAATTATTACAGATATTAAAATTATTATGGATCCTTTTAAGAGATATAAGAAAACAATTATTTCCGTGATTGAGCAAAATAATTTGATTCCATTCATCAAAAATGCAATCAAACCCTCCATAAAATATTTACAAATGCACACTTTATGTAATTCTCACGAAACATTATATAATAGTTATATAAATATTGTTCTCTATAAGTGCTTATTTTCCTTAAATGCATATTCTGCATTTTCTAACTCAAGGAAATGCCTACATACTAAACCTTATCATGCCATATTCATTCCACCAATCATACCCACAATCCTTATATTTAAATCCGTCTTTCAAAAATGAGGCTTCTCTACAAATAGGATAAGTTAAGCTTTATTAAGCATTAATCAATTAAAGTGTAATAAATTCATATATAAGTATAAAATAACATACGTATCACAATTAAGACTATCCAAAATATAACAAAGCTTCCATGCTTCAATAGTAAAACTATAAAGCTTCACACAACTAATGCTTTCACCTTCTTCATTATTTTTGATCTCCCGTTTGAAACGTATGTTGCTTCGATGATCGAAGTCATATTTGTATATATCATTATTTATAAATTCTGGAAAAGTTAAATCTCCTAATTCGACACCCAGCTTAATTGGAAATGGATTATTTAATGGATTATTTTCATTTCTTTCCACGAATGCAATAAAACTAACTTTATGGTCATTGAGGGGTTTACTGAAATCATTTTCAGGATTATCAAATAGAAAAGTAAATGTCTTAGTATAATCGTCATAAGTTGGTAATAATTTTTTAATCTGTTTAGTATCATTCCAATATGTTAACTAAATTAATTAAAAATGATTATCTATTAAATTTATTATATATATTTATTTTTAAAAAAGAAAATTTTAGTTACCTCAAGTTTCAAACCTGAATTTAACACTGAGATAACGGCTTTATGCATTACTAAAGGAACAAATGAGTTCCACTTTTTGCAAATAGTTCTCAATGTGCAAAATTCTTGAAAACTGGTATTAAAATTATTAAATTATCAATATTATTAAATTATCAAATAAAATTTAATGAATAATAAATATCTTAATAAGACTTACTTTGTTTCTATGATAACATAATTTAAAATTTCAATTTGCAATTCATTGGGAAGGATTTGAATCATCTTGAATTTCGGATTAAGCTTCACTTAATACGTAGCTACGTACGTACGTGCGTACGTACCTACGTATTCTGCCAATTTTTATATAATTCTTGGCTTGATCATCCTTACCATATTAATCATGTAATGTAACTATTTTTCACTGTAGTAGTAGGGCGTAAACATACCGATACCAATGATTTAAGAATGAGTGTAAAAATTACATCATAAGTAGCTGTGCGACACTGCCACAATGTTCAGATCCGTACAACATGGATCAGTATTCCGAATTTTAAAATAGGGGGTTGTAACTGTATACCCAAATAAACATACTAATTCGGACCGATGTTTTTTGCGTTCATTCAATATCAAACCTAACAACGTCTACTGTAACCTTAAAAACTATCCGAAAAAGTATACTTGATGTTACACATAAGATCAATTTGAACATGTGAACATGCCATCCAATAACATGCACACAGATAATTGCTTGTAAACCATGTACTACTCCAGAAATAGGTTATAGTATGATTACATGAAAGGCTTTTCAATTACCACTAGTAGTTAGGCACGTCCAAGTGTTCGTACGTACGTCGTAAATCGAAATAGATTAATCATACGACTAAAATTCAGCAGATTGTGGGATTGGATGGAGTGGAATTGACAAATCCTAACAATCCGATAATCTACGCATTAAGTAAAATTGCATAGATGCTAATTTTGCTATAATTAAAAAGGTGCGGACATTCAGAATTTTGGAGGTAGCCAATATGGCATATTTGCCGTATGACTGATAAGTAGAAGTGCTGCATGCCGCATAAATGCCATATACCGTATAAGTGTTGTATGCCGAATGAATACCGTATGCCGTCATTCACCTTAATTTAGTGTGCGAGTATAAAGATGATCTATTAATCGGTAAATTAAAAAAGTGATTCATGTTTACAAACACTTATTTACTGCTAACTAATTACCCTTCTATTCTATCAGTGAATATTACAATAAATTTTTAATAATATAATAATATTTATGGTGATTAAAATGGTAACCTAAATACGGAAAAAATATACATTGTAATAATGACAACACATTTAAAGCTTGGTGTTTGGCATGTGATCCTGACAAGCAAATATGAGAATAATAATGATTGCATCAGAGAATTCAGCTTATAACCATGGGATGGATTTCATTCAATAAATTACCATATAAGTGCGTGAGCGCTATTTTGAACTTTGAATCCTTCAGAAATAGCCTATATGTTCTCGACATTAGCGTTCATGGGCGTCCCGAATTAACGCACGTCTAACGTAGCATCTAATTTATTGCTGCGATAATGATATACAGTCGGCACTCAATGTATACTCTCTCTACAAGTGCACTTCACATGAACTTTCTCTATATAGTAATGATAAGTGCACATAATTTGATCGGTCTAATTTAATTATTTAATAGAATATTTTATAAATGCACTTTTACCCAAAAATGTATTGGATCTAGGAAATCTACTCTTATTTCGGAATAACGCACATGGGTGAATTCAAAATAACGCACAGGTTGTCATTATTTCACGCTTAATGTTAAAGAAATTGGATAAAGAAGATTTGGTAATGTATATTTAGGAACTTGGTTGGATGGTATACGAAAATTGATTATAAGGCGAGACTAATTTAATTCGGTGGTTTACGTTACCCCCTCTTCTGCCTTCCCTTCACTATATATTCGGAAAATTTCGGAAAATTTTTATAATATCGCGGATCATTTCGGAAAAAATTCCCTCCAGCTCCCCCCTCTTTTGTGAGAAGGATGTAACGTAAACCACCGAATTAAATTGGTCTCGCCTAATTGTGTAAAGCGCGTGAACCAACTCAGACAAAACCGTTAATTTGATTGGCCAACGAAATTTTCCAGGGTAGTAAAGCTATACATACGGCATACTACATCGCTCACGGCAATATAATCTCATGTAGTACGACCTCCACGTCATAGCCGTATGGGCATTTAAAGAAAACTGAACCGAGTGATCGACGATCACATGATAAGCATATCATGACGTCATTTATTTACCATAACTAGGAACCGGTGCCATCAAGAAATTTAATAAAAATTATTAACGTTAAAGGTAGGGTCCGTATGGGCTAAGAATACAAGAAACGAGTCTAAACCTATCTTGATTCATTAAGAAAAAATGTCGAGGAACGAAAATCTTCTAACCTTCACATTTTTTTTACTTTTTTTCTTCGTCGGGCTAATCCATGTAAACAAAAAATTCGCGATTTTGATTGGTTACATACATGAAAAATCTATGATTAGGGATGGGTTCGGTCGGTCACGGTCGGTTATTACCGGTTATTGGAACAGGGGAGAACGTCCCAAATATGGACAATGGTTACACGAATGTTGAGTGATTGTCACATGCAAATCAGCCAAT